AAGAAGCCACTCAGTCACATCAGGTGGATAGTCAGGGGGTCAATGCCCACAAACCCACATACTTCAACAGCTATGGCACGAGCAGCAGCACCGGCTCTCTCAGGCCTGGATCTTCTCCAAGTATGTGAAAATATCACTCTCTCTTTTTTAAATTTTACATTCTGCACAATCTGCATGAGAATATTACAAGATGACTTTCTGATCGTCTTCCATGTCTTTCAGGAAAGCTGAACTCCCCTCGCAGGGTGGTTTCCTCCCCCAGGAAACCGCAGTCGCCCAGAGGTGTTAAAAAAGGAAGCCTGACTCCAGTTTCTTTAGCTAAATTCTTTAAAACAGCGGCGTCCAGCACCAAGGAGCCACTAAACACTACAAAAGGTAAGTAGACGGGTAAATTTTAATCTTCTTTGATGATAAAACCTGCATGAAGGGTTTTAATTGGGGACTTTATTCTTTCATTTCTACTTCCAGCTGCTTCCAAGAAAGTTGGGAAAGCCAATGAGGCTGTCCTTCCTGTGAAATCACCACCAGCTCCCAAAGAGAAGGGCAGCGAAGAACAGAGCAAGAAGACGCCAACGTCGCTCATCCTGTTTGAAGAAGTGGATGTTATATTTGACGAGGACTCTGGATTTCTAGCTGCCATCAAGACGTTCATGACGACGACTAAGAGGCCAGTCGTCCTCACGACCAGCGGTTAGTCTTTCAGTGTGGCCTGTGCTAACGGTGTGTTTATCTACTGTTTGCATATTGAGTTTAAATGATGTTTGTTTTTGTAGATCCGGCTTTCAGCAGCATGTTTGATGGAACCTTTGAGGAGATACATTTCAAGGCCCCATCTCTGGTGAGTGGAGGGTTGTTCGGCCTGATTGTGTCGGCTCTGATGGAGTCATTCAGCCCAGCATTCATGTTTGGTTTTTTGTTTGTTTGGTTTTTTCCTGCTACAGTTAAACGTGAGCAGTTACCTGCAGCTGCTGTGTTTGGCTGAGGACATGAGGACGGACCCCGCGGACATCCGGTCTCTGCTCAGACTCAACGGCTGCGACATCAGGCAGAGTTTGCTGCAGCTGCAGTTCTGGACTCGCAGTGCAGGCGCACGCCACGGGGCAAGGCCTTTAGTGCCGACGGGCAAAAATGGTAAGAAGATGATCAGGGACAGTTTGAGCTTTAATACCTTCTGTTTTTGCATAATAAAATAATTTTCTGTAGCTGTGACTCGCTCTAAAAGTGTTTTCTCCCTCATTTTATTAGAAACTGAAGTAAAGCCAGAAGCTGAAGAGGCAGCAGACAAATCCACCCTGCCTCCCTGTGACACTGGCTGCACTGAGAGCAAGCTTGGCCTGCTCAATAATGGACAAGAGAGAGACGTTTTGGAGCTGCTCAAGGTAAATTGTTTATTTAGCACACAGAGTGCATAATAGGCAGTCACGTCTATTAATGGATTGTGGCTCTGGTACTCAGGCAACAATTCCTGTCACTCGAGGGGCACCGAAAGTTTACTCACCTTCAGGCTGCTCATTCTTTCAAGTTAAGTTAAGTTTTAGATGTATGGAAATACACTATCAAATAAAAGCACATTAACTGGCACATTAGTTTGTAACTAAAGTGTGAAGCAGAACAGAAATGTCAGACTTTTAATTGTATTACACGCATTTTGTAGCTTTTCCTGCTGATAAAGAGCTCCCTGTGGCCATTCATCCTGCATTAAAGTAATGAGATAATAGATTTCTATAGGTTTACACATTTACTTCTTAAAATTTAAGCCCAAAGAGTCGCAGTGACAGATTTCTTTCTGTTGAAATGCAGATTACTCAGGGATTAAATGTGTAGTTAAATCTCTGTACACTGACAGAAAGGGCAGTTTCAAACTTTGATCTTACTCAAATGAGTTTGACACCCCTGATCTGTAGTGTGGACTTAGTCAATATTATTAAAATCTCATACAGGTAATTTGGCTGCAGTGACAAACAGAAACATGAATTAACTAGTAGTAGGTTGGACATCGTTCTGTTATCTAACATTAAATTACACCAAAGGAATCTCTGATTCCAGTAGGGAAAAATGTTTTTGTGAAATCAAGGAGTGGACGATATAGGAAGAAACGCGGACTGTCGTATCGATGTTTGCAGGATGCTGCAGTTAAAAGTGTCAGTAAATAAAAATCCTTCATCCTTCTTTTCCAATAAGCTGCTCTCAGTGATGACACACTTCCTAAGTAACATAACCTTAAAACTCTTCAGGAGATGCACAATATTTTCACGTAATAAAACAGAAAAATATATTTCTACCTCACATGCTGTGCCTTGTAACCAGCTACCACATAACCACATCAATAATTTCCATCCCCTGTTTCCTCCTCCTCTCATATGGAGTGCCGAAAGTGAGAGCACCTTGCAACGGTTCAAGTCCTTTGTTTACATTTGGGTCACACATCACCAGCTCCTCGTATCACCTCCACGATTGATGATTTCCTGAGTGAAATCATCAATCGGGACAATAAGGAGAATGATGTGCTGTGTTTAAAGGGGTGAAAATTTTATTTTGAAGAGTAGTATTGGACGCTTATATGGCCCCACACTTTGAATAATGTCTGGCTTTAACAGGAGGAAAAAGTAGACACAGTTTGTTGGTTTGAAAGTTCAAATGCTGTTATAGTCCTGCAGGACTCGCACAGCACTTTGAGCTGAGCTGGAGTTAAGCGTGTCCAGTATGACTGAGTGTGTGTTGTTTCTGCAGAGCCACAGTCTGGTGGAGGAGCCGGGTTGTTGGGAGCTGCTGACGGACTGCAAACGACGTGGAGTCGACTTGCTCTACTCGAACATGGAGATCCTTTTACCTCTGCCGCTCACACATTTGACTACCTCTACCCGCAACCCAGAGCAGTGTGCTTCTGTATCGCAAGACCAGCCTTCTGCCAGTCCGAAAGAGCAACCGTCATCCACGCTGCTATCGACAGAGTCAGCTGATTGCTCAGACGGCAACAGTCCAGTCAAAATGTCTAACAGGATGAGGAAGAACAAGAGGAGACACAATCTACCTGACCAAGCTGGAGCTGACTCTGACTCAGACTCAGAAGATAGATTTCTTTCTCTCTGTAAGCCTCAGAACGCTCCTCAGGCCAAAGAGAAAGTCAAAGCTTCAGAAAGGGCTAAAAGGAAGCCACTGACTCCTGAGGAGCGCTTAAAAAGCCTCCCAGTGTCACAGTGTCTGGAATCAATAGCAGACTTCTTAGACAGCATGTCCTACATGGACTCGTTGCTCGACAGGGCTGACAGTCACAGAGGTCTGTCATCTGTAAGTGTGGTCATAAAAGATGGGATGACAGACGAGTCAAGTGTGGAGATCGAAAGAGGGAGCTCGATGACAGCAACTGGCCTGGAGATCCAGGCGGCGGTCGAGGCTCTGAGCTTCCGCAAGTTCCGGGTATCGGCAGAGGAGGCTTTGGAGAGAACACGACAGCTGGAAGGGGAGCTGGCCAAAGAGGCTGCAGCAGAGCTCAGCCTCCCCGTGGCTGCTCATCGGGAATGTTTCAGCTTCACACATGACGGGCCCTCAGAGCCACAGTGAGTTTGGACCCTGAGAAAATGCCACGTTGCCCAACAAACGTGTAAAAGTAGTTTCAATGGTTTTAGCTGACGTTGATGTCCGGTGTTGCTTTCCAGGTTGGTTGAGCGGAGGAGAGAAGTGATGGAGAGTCTGATGCTGAAAGGAGTGTTTGGTACTCTTGGCAACAGTCCACCAGCTGCTCTGGACTATTTACCAATCATGCGCTGCATCTGCAGATCTGAGAAGCTTAAGGAGCAAGGCAAAGTTAAGCGAAGGTGAGGACAGAATTGCTGCTCCTTCAGCTGGTCAGCGGTGGCGGGTTTGGATTCAAACCGTTGGCAGGATGTGGTAAAGATGACGATGGTGGTAGTGAGGTTTCATTTTGTCACATTTGAATATGAGGCTACAAATAAATAAAATAAAATGTGGTGCATTAATGCAAAGTCATTTATATGAGTCCACAGATAATGCTGAGCTGTTTATTTTCCGCCTCCTCCAGGTTTCTGCACTACCTCGACGCGATCCACTTGGGTCTCGAAAAAAGGACTCTACAGCTGCTCGCTGAAGATTTCCCCTAAAACAACAAAGACGACCAGACTGGACTCCACAGTCACACACAGGCCTTCAATAAGTACTCTCTGGCTCTCAGAAGGACTGGTGTACAGA